AAGGAGGGGCTGGAGGTGGAGGTGGGCGAGAGCCTGGTGCTGGAGCGCGAGGGGCCGCGGTGCCGGCTGGGGCTGCCCTGCGCCCGGCCGCAGGACGCGGGGGAGTTCGTCTGCGACGCCGGCGGCGACTCCGTCTTCTACAACGTCACGGTGGCAGGTCAGTGGGTTGCAGGTCAGCGGGCTGCAGGTCAGTGATGTACTCGTGGGGTGATGTCTCCATGGGCTCCCTGTGGTGCTCAGCGCAGGGTGCCTCCTCATGGGCTGCAGTCTGCGAGAGCAGGGTAAGACCCTGCTTGTTCAACAGGAGACTTTATGAGCTGCTCGCTGGACATGCAAGGATACACAGTGGCTGTGGGAAGTGCTGAGCTTGGGGAGCATGTCTGTCTGCTATTGCTGCTGTGGTGTCCAGTTGTCCTCTCCTTCCTGCCACCTTGCAGCCCCTGGGGCCATCTCCCATCTGCTGCATCTCTGCCCATCCCTGGCCTCTCTCCCCCCGTCTCCATGGTCTCCTGTTCATTCCTTGTCTTTCCGTGTTATTGTGACTTGTATCCTTTGCCCCTCTGGTTCTCTGGGTGCTCCTCCAGACAACACGTTATTTACACTCATTACCTGGTAACTCGCACCCTGCCTCTGCCATGACCCAGTTCGAGGCCGCTCTGCCTTCTGCCTCTTACCTCTCGCTGGAGATTATCTATGGGCAGCAGGATCTCTGTTTAGGGGCTGGGTTGAAGTTTCAGCAGCTCTGCAGGGTGGGAGGGACAGGGACACGATGGCTGGCTCCTCTTGGAGCGTGCTGGGAGGGACCCTGCGTGTCATGGAGCAGCAGCTGCCCTCCTGATGTCCCACGTGGCGGATGGGGCAGGCCCGCCGAGCCTTGCATGGGCAGTGCCAAAAGGGAAAGGGGTTAGTGTCTCCTTCTTCACATCACATACGTCCTTACTGGCTCCTCATCAGTGATTCTGCTGGGTTGAGGTCTTTGCAGCAGCAGGAGTTTGCTGGGTAAGACCTCCAAGCTTACCTACGAAGTGGGCAGCTCACTTCTCGGGCATCGATCTGTAATGCTTGGGCACTGATGTTGGGTCCTGAGCACCCCCACACCGGGTAACATTTGCTGGACCTCTCCCATGGCCAGTAAACAAGACCTTCTCTGCATTCCTAAAAATAGCAGGTGTTAGTATCCAGCACTGGGTGGCCAGCACCTGGTGTGGGGTGACTCACTGTTGGACATCACTGTGATGGACAGCATTAATTGCTGACCTAAAAATTAGTGGTTGCCTGGATACCAATGATTCGGTTGTGTTTACTTTGTGCAAACCGAGGACAGTATCACACAGTGACTTTCCCCCGTCGTAACGCAGTCGTTAGCATTGCTGGGTAGCAGCGCAAATGGAAAAAGATAATGAAAACTGAAAATGACCAAAAAACTTGCGGTCACTGGCTCCAAAACCCGCAGTTCCACAAGCACAGGGAAGCTACCCATGGCAGAAATACAGCTTGGTTAAAAGGTGATGTGACCGCAGTGATAAAAACCTCTCCGCAATGCTCACATGTGGATAAGTGCAGAAGTGTGATTAATCGCAGGGGATGTAAGCGTGGAAATGCGATGAGTGACACAAGATGCTAGAAGAATCAGTGAAATAGTAATTGCCAAGAGGATTAAGAAAGAAGGGCTTTTAGCATGATAGAGTCAAAATCACCAGCAGGAAGGATGGACTGTAAACACCCTCCCTACCCGCCCGGGGGTGATCAGCTGTGGCTGTAATGCTGTGGATAGAGAGAGGAGGCGTCATCCATCCTGCAGCAGTGCACAGGCGTGGAAAGTTCAGCATCTGTAACATAAGAGGGGGGAAACACCATCTGCTGAAGTTCAATATTTCAGCTCAGCAGCTTTGCATAACTTAGGCTGAAGAGTCTTAAAGAGCCTGACTGTTAGTTCAGGGCTCGGTCACTGAGGAAGGGCTAACAGTGTAATCAGCACCAGGCAGCGTGTGAGCGGCGAGTGACAGAAGGCTTAAATGGGGACTTCTCTGACACAATTTCAGGTTTGGCAGATAAAAGCAGTGCTGTTGATATGGCATGCTTGGATTTCTCCAAGGCATCCGAGTTATCCCCGTCACAGGCTGGTGCAATGCACAAGTCCAGCTGCCTAAAGCCTGGCCATCCCCAAATACCTTTGGGTTTTCTGGCAGCTGCTGAGTGTTTTGGCTCCATTGGAGCCAGCAGTGGGGCTGGAGCCAGAGCAGCGTGGCTCACCACGGCCTGGCGTGCTGCACCCTCTCAGCTTTTGCCCGAGGCTTCCCCTCTGCAGGGCTCTCCTGGCATGCTGCGGGACGTGGATTTGCCCCAAAGCTGCACTGTCCCTGCCATTGCATCAGAGACTTCTGGAGCTCCCAGCCTGTCTTGCTCAGGCGGGCCAAGCCATGGGCTTTCCTCTGCACTTCCCAGGGATTTAAAAGCAGTCGGTTGTCTGAAGTCGGCTTATGGGGCAAGGGGAAATAGGGGTCAGAGACGTAATGCTGAGAGCCTGTAGCAAGGGCCTCTCCTGATCCGGTGGATGTGCCAGGTGCTCAGTTCGTGCTCTGCTCTCACGGGCTCAGCTGCTGCCTCAGCTCTGGTCTTGGCTGTGCCCCATGCCCGCATGGACCCACGAGCTGGGCTGAGCACCCAGCGCACAGTCCAGGGCCCCTACAGCATGTTGAATCTCACAGCCCTGATGATGAAGAAGCCACTGGTCGACTGGTGCATGGTCAGGCAGATAGTGTTGGCTACTGCAAACAGGAGCCACATCCTGACCCCCTGAGGCCTTCTCCCAAGGGAGAGGAGGGCTGGTTACCTAATGCTTATACGGGAACCCCTCCTGGACTTTATGAATCTAATGCATGTTAACAGAGAGTTGTGAGCACTGGCAAATATTTTGTGGGCAGGCTGAGGTTACATGTGTTAATTGTGGTGTTTAACTTGCGCTAAAGTCTAGTACGGTGTCCTGGGTCAGAGTGAGCAGGAGAGATGGGGAAGCGGTCTGCAAGCGAGCTGTGTGCCTGCATTGCAGAGTAAGCAAAAGCAAAGCTCTGAATTGAGACAAAAGCGCAGGGTGGCACCCAACAGCCATCCAAGACGGCTCCTGGGGAGACAGTCGGAGCAGTGGGAGCTTCCCCCAGTAAGGAAGCCACAAGGGCCATGTGCAGGCTCCCGGACATGCCAGCACTGTGCACACCTGCAAACGGTCCTGCAGCTTTTTGCTTTCCTACCCATTTCATTGCCCTCTGCCTCCCTCGGGGGACTTTTCCCAGAGGCGCAGCGGTGCCAGGCACCCGTGCGGGGAGCAAGGACTTGCTGAGGTCTGACACAACACACTGATATACGGCGAGACTCAAAACAAGATGCTTCCCCATGCTGGCTCCCAGATGGGATGTGAGGCATGCGAGCTCCCTGGCACAGCTGGCCCAGGGCAGCCCACCAGCTGGTGTTTTGCAAGACGTAGATTAGGTGGTGTTTTTTAGGCTTAAAAATAAATGAATCTGTGAAGTCACTGCTCCACGCTGGGGTCTGACCACTAACAGTCACCAGCCGTGGATTTTGCGTCGCGGCTCAGCCCACCATCTCTCCCTGCCAGAGCCGCCGGTGCGGATCGTCAGCTCCAACGAGGATGCCCCCCCCGCACA